TATTGGGATTTTATAAATTTATTTTGTAAATAATAATTTTGGTAACCTCACAACCTCAGCAGACAAAGTTGTGCGCACCCCTTGTGATCTCTGGTGCCCCCCAGTGGGGGGCACGGACCCCAGGTTGGGTACCACTGCCTTCAAGGACCAGTGTGTAGGATTTAGTGGTATCTAGTTGTGATGTTTCAGATTGCAACTCACTGAACTTGACAGTCTGGGAATGAGAATGACCTGTTAAGTGTGTAGGAGGAACTACAGTGGCTATGAAACTCCCCCAAAATGTGAAAGGCATTATCTACAACCCGTGTTTGGTTTGTCCGTTCTGGAAAACTTGGCGATGTGTGTTGTAGATAAAAAAGGTTAAGGTTATTTCTGCCAACAGATCCTCCTAAATGTTACACACTGGACCTTTAACTTTTCCTTTAACACCACAATGACATTTGGGGTTTTGAGTGAAATGTTTCAACAACTATCGGATGGATTGCCATAACATTTGGTGCAGACATTTATGTCTCTCAGTATGAACTGGAATATTTCTTATGAATGTTTCTTCTATTATCATGTCAAAATTTGTCCAATTTTAGAACCAAATACCTGCAAAACTAACTTAATTTCCATCATCCTCAGCTGTTCTTGTGTTTAGTGCTAGTTAACAAATGTTGGCATGCTGACACACTAAACTGTAACAGTGAACATGGGAGACATTATACCTGCAGATACAATCATAATCTGATACATAACTGCTAAGTGGCTGCTGAGTGATCCCTTACTGACGTATGTACGACCACTGTGATGAAATACTGTTTAGTACAAGTATGTTTCATCTGAATTCTTGTTTGGAAGGTTTTTATAAGCACAACTGAGGAGCTTTGGGTTTCTTGTTCTTGCTTAGGTAGTTTTTACCGCTCTTTCCATCCCTCAGTGGTGGTTTGAGACTTCCAGGACATGTGTACATTTTATTTTCTCAAACCTCAGAGTTTGAGGGTTTGATAATTAAAATAAGGCCATTGTGCTATATGTGAAAGGGGTCAGCTGCGATCAACTGCAACCGCCTAGATGAATTCTTTCTCTAAGGTCAAGCCAGACATTCCCACTGAGACCAAACATGGTCTGACTCATGTAGTGCAAATGAGGCATTTGAAACACTTTGGCTATTCAGCTTTATCTCTCGCTATCTCATTTTCACATCTTTTGCAGGACATTCAACACATCCTTGCTGGATGAGGCTAATGCTTTCTTTTGGCTGTGGCATTTCAAAGTCCGGGATGCAATAGAAGCAACAGTATCCAATTATGTGCAGCTTATTCCTGCAAGTCAGTATCATAAGCATGCTAGCAAGATAGCTTTGCTAGATAAGACACTTTTCAATATGAAGAGCTGCTCTCACATCCTGTGGGCAGCTGGTTGATGGACTGTTCATCATGCAAAAGGTCAAATTCATGAACCAATTACAACTGGAATCTTTTCATACAAAGAAGACACAAATGATATGAGACAATTCTGTTATTCACCCAGTTTTTTCATTTAGTTTATGAAAGCTGATTGAGATGAACACTGCTGCATTCACAGCAAGCAGAAACATGAAAATATAAAAAATAATACTAAGCCATTTTTTAATATTAGACTATATGGGCACCATAAAAAGGGAAGTTTTAATGGCAATTTTATGGAATCAGATGAGTCTCAATATTAAGAAATGTGCACAGAAGTATTTATATTCATATTTCCTATGAAATGTCTGTCATTGCATATGGATATAAAAAGGTTCACACATGTATTTATGATGCACACACACATATTTCTTACTTTAAATAAATGTAAAAAGTTGACTATATAATGCTAATAGACAGTAGACAACCCAGGATCTTCAAACATATTTAATTATGCACAGGACAGGACAGGACTTAAGTTGATGTTAGTTCTCCTGTTATAATTCATAATTTCAGACTATGTGATCACATTAAATCATACTTTAATCTACTCTCTATTTGATTGGCTAAAATGGATGGAGACATCTGCCAGGCTACAGATCATTCTCTGTTTGTTATTTGTATTTCTATTATATTAATTCAAACCAAAGATATTTGTGCTTGTGCATCCGAAATACATTCAACCTTATTTTATGTGGAGTTTTTCCACATTTATATACAACAATACATATTTTGTGTGCATTGAACATTTGTCTTGTGGAGTCAT